ATCTAGGATTTAGGCTTTAGGATTTAGGATTTAGGATTTAGGATTTAGGGTGTAGGATTTAGGATCTAGGATTTAGGCTTTAGGATTTAGGGTTTAGGATTTAGGGTGTAGGATTTAGGATCTAGGATTTAGGGTTTAGGATTTAGGGTTTAGGATTTAGGGTTTGGGATTTAGGGTTTAGGATTTAGGATTTAGGGTTTAGGATTTAGGGTGTAGGATTGGTCTGCTGAACGCTTCGTATCCAGACAAGCCCACCCCAAGGCCACCCAAACACCCAATGTCTGTTTTTCTGAGGGCCCTATTGTTAGGGGGAGGGGGGGCCCTACATCACAGAGGGACCCACATGAATATAGCCCTTATATCAGCCAAGGTAATCCCTAAAATCCTAGGGGTACAAGACTGAAACCCTTGAACCCAAAACCCTAAACCGTGCTTAAGCGCCCTAAGTCCGGGTTTAGGGTTTCAACCCCTGTAAGCTTCACCCCAATCGCTTCCAGAACCAGTTGAGTGCCAAAAGCTCAAAGAACACAAGCACGCTCTAAGGCTCCAAGGACTCATACTTTGCGGCTTATGGGCCCAAAGCTCTCAAAGCTTTTGAGTCTTAGGGATAGGGTAGATGACCCGTCTACCCTGGCTACTGCAGGACGGTTCTGAACCCTGAGACCATAACAACGAACCCCAAACGAACCCCAAACCCTGAAGGCCCTAAACACCCAGATCCTGAACCCAAAGCGCCTACAGTAAACACCCAAGCGCTACACTGCTACACTCCTGAACCCTAAACCCCAGAGCTCTATGAATGCATAAATACATACGTAGAGAGACACACTCAAAACCACTAAACCTGATTTTGGGCAGTGTAAAGACTTCATTTTGGGGCATGTGAAGGTGATCCTCAATCCAAGCTGCTTTTCAAAGCAGTTCCCTAATTCAACCATCTCAGGGTTTACAGGGTTTAGGGTTTATGAACCCTCAATCGTGTGATTTGCGGAACATCTGCGCCTCATCTGGGTGTAGTGCCACAAGCGCAGAGCAGCCTTCAACCAAAGCTTCCTGGATTTGAAACTAAAATCCCGAGGGTCCAAGGACCCAAATATGAGGGCTTTAGGTCCTAAATCCATTCAGATTGTAATATCTGGGCCCTCAAGCCCGAATTCTGGTGTTACTACAGTGAATCAGACTCATTCAGGGTTTCTAGCTTTGGTATCAACAGTGTGGGAAGTTGTCTGCGAACCAGGGTCTGGGGATTAGGGCTTTGGCTTTGGGGTCTGGGTTTCGGGATGAACTGTTTAGAGTTCAGGGCGCGGGAAATAGGATGTATCAATTACCTAGAGTAGCCTTGAAGCCCAAAAAGGTAAAGATATCAAAATATTCGGTGCAAAGTCCCTTGTTCTAGGTATAGAGATTACACTAAGTAGGGCTCATAGAGGTTAGGCCCTAGGCTGTATATGGACACTTGAAAGGACTTTCTTAAGCAGGATGCTGGGCGTTGTAAGGCTTCTCAAGCTTGTGCGAGATGGAGCGTGCTAGACAGCTCAAAGTTGTGGGGTTTTGGGTGTCCGTTGCTTCGGCCTATTCGGCTCCAATGGGGAACCGTATTGACTTGGTTATAATCATAGTCATAGTGCAATTTCCTGTACCACCAGCAACAAAAACATAGGGTTCCCTACTCAGCTACCAAGAAGTTTCCCCTAAATCTGCAGCCACAAACCCCCCCACACCTGCGGAAACCCTTAAGCCCTAAACCCGAAGTATGCAAAGCATCAGCTTATCAATGAGCCAAGAAACGTCGCAAGCTGGAACGGCATCACCGGATCCGCTGAAAGAGTCGTCAGAACCCTGCATGCTCATGAAGCCCCGGGCTTACGGTTTGGGTTTTTAAGGATTTGGGGCCAAAGGCTTCATGTCGATAGATCTTTGCATGTTCCTTCATGTATGCATCCAAGGAACCACAGTATCTGTATAGGCCAAGTCTATACTATATACACATACAGCTACCTAGACTTTTGGGGAAAGCCCTACTAGTGGTATAGATATATTGCTCGAATTCAGTGCACTCCTATAGTGGGATGCAAAACAGAGAAATGACAGGAGGTTTCTAGCTCTAGAAGAAGTGAAAGCAACAAGCAGCTACTTCGTGTCTGGCATCACCGCAGACTTATTCATCAACAGGGAGTAGAGAGAATGTAATCCCTTCTGCTGAAATTAGACACCGCCACACCCCAAACAGCAAATACTCGCCATAAGGGCTTTTGTGGAAAGTGAGCATGTTTAACCCTAAACCCTTAAGTATTGATTAGGAGGAGGTGTTTATGAAGGTATCTGCCAGTCAGGACTCCATGAGGCAAGAGTGCCCGCTTCAAAACCTACCTAAAGTCACTGGTGCTCAAGTTAAGGGTTTAAGGGTTTAGGGGTTTAGGGTTTAGAGGTTTAGATCTATTCCCCAACCTTCCTGAAGCATATGTGCTCCAGTCAAAATTGCTTACAGGGGGTTATATAAGGGACTATATAGGGGCCACTATGGGGATACTGGGAGTTTTGACTATAGCTCATATGTACGCCGAGGGTCTTCCAGGCCAGGATCTTGTTTGAAGTATTTCACGAACTCCATACAAAGTTGCCCATTCTAGCACCCAACATATTTGTGCAGCACATGTTGAGGAGTTCAGGCAAGCGGTAAGGCTGGCATGTGCCACAGGGAAACTACTAGGTCAGGGTCGAAAGTCCAAAGCTGATATCGCATTCCCTCATAATCCCCACCACTAATAAATTGATACACGCCTACCACGTAATGAGCACTTCACACATTATAGCATGAATATTAGTTAACATATTCCAAGGAATATTCGATAGCTTCACAAAACAGAGGGGATCCAATATACAACCCGAATACTGGAATCCGTATCATATACACCCCCAGAAGGAAGCCCTCATTTTGGGAGACCCTAGCCCTAAACATCAAACCCCAAGTCCTAAACCATAATTCCTAAACCCCATGTCCTAAACCCTAAGCCCTAAACAGCGACTCCTAAACCCTAAGCCCTGAACCCTAAATCCTAAACCCTAAACCCTAAACCCCAAGCCCTAAACCCCAAACCCTAAACCCCAAGTCCTACACCATTTAGGATTATCAGGGGGAGACGTGGAGCTTTTATTCAGGGGGAGGCGATTCTTGAGCACTCTGGCATCCAATGATGTCTTGGGAACTTCATGATTCAGGGTCCAGGGTTTACGGACAATTCCTGTTTTGGAAATATGGTCACTTTGGGACTATTTAACAGAACAGACAACACCACCATGTGGGTGAGGACGGGTGATGCCGCTATATTTGCCCAGAATACGATTACAGCTTACTCGCTCCTCCACAGACGTCATAAGCGGAAATGACAAGGACTACGCCCGGAACCAAAACCGTATGTAGCTGCAGACATTTGTCGAATCAGGGACCCCACCGTGAAGATCTTTCCGGTTTGTATGGTATACGAGGTGGGCTCCCATGTTTTCTGGCCTTTGGTGAGCTAGGGAATGAAGGAATGGATCCTTATAGTAGTCTCTAACATATGTAACCCACTATACTAACTTCCATTTTCTTTTCCATTCCTTCATTCCCAGGTAGCCAAAGGCCAGTTTTGGAACAAACCAACTACTGCTCGAACCCAGGCTCCTCCTGCGTTCAGGGTTTAGGGTTTAGGGTTTAGGTGCCGTACCCTGCGTTAAATGCACAGTGATCCACCCCGAAAACCCTGCACCCACACCACGGTTCGGATTTTCAGTTCCAAGGCCCCATAGCATGAGCCCATTCCTCCTATCAAATGCCGAAACCCAACACCCAACACCCTACACCTTCACCCCGCAACCCTACACCCAACCTAATGCCAAAGCCCAAAACCCTAATCCCTACACCCCAAACCCTAAACCAAAAACCCTCAACCCTAACCCCTAAACGCCTAAACCCTGAACCTTAAACCCTAAACTCATAACCCCTATACCCCTAAACCCTAAGCACTAAACCCTGAACCCCTAAACCCTAAACCCTATGCCCTAAACCCAAAATCCAAACCTTAAACCCAAACCCTTATACCCCTAAACGCCTAAACCCTAAACTCTAAACCCCAAACCCCTAAACCCCTGAACCCAAAAATGCGTCAGCTGAGAACCTCCAGGCGGCCGCCGAACCACGCGCGGCAGGCTCCCATCAGGGGGCCAGCGCCTGCAGTTTGCCGGTCTTCAAATTTTTAGGGGTTTAGGGTTTAGGGTTGGGGTACACGGGGATTTGGGGGGGTAGGGGTTCAAGGTTTAGAGCTTAAGTTTGGGGTTCAGGGTTTAGGGTGTAAGGGGGTTTTGGGGGTTTTCGGGTTCGAGTTGAGGTTTTGAAAGAGACTAAACCCTACACGCCCGAAACTCAACACCATGTACCCTACAAAGAAGGCAAGTACATGACGAGTACAACAAATGATACTAATTATGGAGTATAGGCAGGACATTGCCCATTGGGACTCCTAACCGTCACTAACAGAAACTAACTTGGAACACAACGAATGGGTGCTTATTAGCAAGCTTCAACAAAGTCATCTGAATACGGATTTATTGTAGATAAGATGGTTGTGTATAAGGATAAAGTAGTCGGAATTCCTTAGCAGCTAATATCGACAAAGATAACTGGGTCATTATTGAGATGACTAGTATTGGACTATATGGCCTTATAACCCGCGCTGGGTTCTGGTGCCACAAAAACAGCTCAATAATAGTTCAGATAGAGGCTCCTGTTAAAACACGCAGTGCTCTCAGTAGGGGCTCTTTTTCAGCTTCCGTGTCAGCTGTCAGTCTGGGGGAGGGCATGTTTTTATGAGCTCTTTACCCGACAATATGCTCCGTACGTATCGCTACATATAACAGTTTCCCTGTCATTCACGTTTTCTTTTCCATTCAATTCTTCATTTTTTGCGGTAATATCCTCACACCCTATACATCCGCATATCCCCTTGAACGGGACCTAGGGTTTCCCCTAAACCCTATATACCCTGAACCCTAAACCTTAACTTTCCATTACATGTTCCGTGTTCCTTTCCTTTAGAATTTTCAATCCAATCCTGAAGTGTCTATATAATTCCCTACAAGCCCACAAACACTGCGTTTAGATTGCTAAGTAATTATTCACCTTTGCACTACATCTCTGTATAACCCCAATTAAAAATGTACATTACTTGGTTATGTGTATAACCCTATATAACCCCAACTAAACTGGACATGACTTAATTACATTCGAAAAACCAGGAAAGTACACAAAACCCTAAGCCCTAGTACCCTAGCACCGTAGCACCCTGCGCCCTAACACCTTAAACCCTAAACCCTAGAAACCTAAGCCCTTTGAGCAGCACCTGACTTCCGCATCAGCTTTCGCGCACGGCTTGGTAGGCAACCTCGCACTGCTTGCATTGAGTGGGGAAAGGGTTTACGCTTTAGGGTGCTTTGGGTGGGGATAGCGTTTAGCTTTGAGCGGGGATGGGGTCCGGGGTTCAGGGTTTAGAGTACTTTGAGTGGGGATAGGGTCTAGGGTTTAGGATGCTTTTAGGGGTTTGGGGGGCGTTGACTGGAAATAGAATGTACAGGGGCGCTGTTATGCGATTTAAGCTGAGTTCTCATAATCTGGGCTATGTAGTACTTGCTGGAGTTTCCATATTATAGCAAACTTAAATTCCTTAACAGCAACTCACTTGAGTGGGATATAGGGTTTAGGGTGCTGGGGTTCAGGATTTAAGGTCAATGCTTAAGAAATGGTGTTCAGAGTATAGGATGGAGGGTCTAGGATTGAGGGCGACCAAGTGAAGGATTTCGGGCAATACTTTCGTATCTGGGGCTAGGATTTAGGATTCGAAGGTTCAGAGTTTGAGAATGGGGTTACGCAGAAACAGGCTACCCCAGACCCCACGACATGATTGAGGGTGACAGTGGGGAGCATATGGATCATGCTCAGACACACCCACGTGGGTCCTGGGCTAGGTTCACTCAACGGTACAAACGTAGCAGAGTCATTGCAACGCCTGCTGCGCAGTTAGGTTTTTGGGTTTAGGACTGAGTGAATGCAAGTTGCTGAGGTTGAGGGTTGAAGGATTTAGGGCCTACCTAAACCCCAAAATATGTAGAATAATAGCCTCAAACCCATACTAACAGTTATTTTACATACTTTAGGGGTCCAGGTAGTGCTTGGATCTTAGGACCAAGGGTTTAGGCTTTCAGGTGTAGGACTCCTCAAGCCTGAACCCTCAACCCTAAACCCTTAACCCGTAACCCTAAACCCTAAACCTTGAACCCTAAACCCTTAGTGCTTGGGGTTCAGAGTTTCAGGGCTTGGGGTGGCTTGCTCTGGGCACTTGTCGCTTCAATTGGGGTTTGGGGTTTAGGGTTTAGGGGTTATGGTCTAGGGCTTATTTGGGTTTAGGGTGTAGGGTTTAAGGCTTATTTGGGTTTAGGGTTTAAAGTTTATTTGGGTTTGGGACTAGGGCTTAGGGCTTTATTTGTTCACACTCGACTGCTTACAAGATGAAAGCTCCAGTCACGCATGTGTTATCATACAGGGATCGTGGTTAACAAAATCTCAAGATAGTGACCCTATGATTATCACGTGAGTCTTGCGTAGGGTCTTTCTTATAGGGGTAAGGGCTGCCAAAATCCAACCCTAAACCCTAAACCCTAAACCCTGGTAATTACGGAGCACCCCGTGCCTGGTAGATTGGTCCCTAGTTCTCAGGCGATTCCCCGAGTCCACCCCCTGCAGCTACAGCTACCGCAAGATGCAATAGAAGTTGTAATAACCGCTTTTATAAACCCCAAACCCTAAACCCTAAGACTCTGAAGGGAATGTTACAATAACCGCCTACTACTGAACCCCAAGCCCTAAACCGCGTACCTCTCCAAGCACAGTCACTGTGAGGGGGCAATGGCGCAGCTTAGAGATAAGGCCTAAGCCCTAAACCTTAAGCCCTAGATCCCCCATACTTTCTTTAAACACCCCCAGCCATAACCAGTAATTTCCAATCTGGCTATAACGAATGCTGCCTTGACCAGTGGAAGCCCAATATTTGTCAGGCCTATCCACCCTCCCTCCCTCCCACCCTCCCTCTTCCAGAGGGCTCGAAAGGTGGGATGAAGGTAGGTGGGTTAAAGGATCCTTAATATATACTCGACTATATTGGGGCTTATTTCCTATACCCCACCTTCCTTCATGCCGCCTTTTGAACCCTTTGACTCTTTGGACTCCAGAGTACCCGGTAGTGGGTCCGGATTTGTTTGCGGATTCTAAGGGCTGCTCGGCTTCAACCATCATTGAGATCCTTGGTCTGACCCTCAACCCTACACCCAAAATCCCAAAACCCGAAACCCTAAACTCTAAGCCCTAAAGCCTAAACCCTAAATCCCTAAGCCCGAAACCCTAAACTCTAAGCCCTAAACTCTAAACCCTAAATCCCAAAACCCTAAACCCTATTATAAGTCTTGAATTGCTCCAAGAACTGCAAGGGTGCGGGATCTGGGGGCCACCAGGAATTTTCGGGGGTTTAAGGTTTGGGGTTTAGGGTTGCTGTTAAGGAACTTCAACTAAGCTGGCATAATGGGTATACATAGGGTATGTAGGGTATATAGGGTTTAGGGTTACTCCCTATTCGACCTCCCGCTGTACAACCTCTATAAAGCATGAACATGATTCCGAAGTCACCTGAACCTCCAAGTCAAGCCTCAACCCTGTATGTCCCTTTATATCCCCATATATCTCTCTGTGTCCCGACATAAACCCTAAAACCCTGATCCCCAAATCCTAAGGCCCCGTATACAAAGCCCTAAGGACACCCCAGCCCCGGTGGGTAGTTACCAGGTGGGTACCCCCAATTTAGGAGGGTTTAGGGTCTAGGGCTCGTGTAAGGCTAGTGTAGGGGTAATGGAGCTAAATAAGGTCTATGTAGGCCTGCCTAAAGGGCACACACCTGACAACTATCCACGTAGGGGTGTCCATGATATGTATATATACAATTATGTATACATGCATAAATATGTAATATATATATATATATACACGTATAATTTGCCATATATCCCCATGTATCCCTATATGACGCTAAACCCCAACCCATCCCACGCGAAGCAATTTAGACGGACCCACTGCAAGAGCCTGCACTTCGCCGAGGGTCCACAATGGTGGCGCGCACCCCTCGAAGAGCCAAGGCTAAGGAAAGTAGACCTGCGGCTTAGGGTTTCTTGCTAATAGCTTTTAAGGTTTCGAGCTTAGGGTCCGGGTTTAGTGGGTTCCGTTCTGGGATTTCGGCTAAGAATATGAGGGTGTACTGGACATTTAGAGTCTAACTAAACCCTAAAACCCTTAAACCCGAAACCCTAAACCACTAAACCCCTAACCCTTAAACCCTAAGGTGCAGGGCTTTGGGTCTGGGACTCGGATTTTTGCATTCGGGACCAAGGGATGGACATCTACCAGCAGAATGCAAACATTGGGCCCTCTAATTGGTGAGCTTCCTGGCCCAAACAACCTGTTTTTTACTAATCCCTAAGGGTCCAAGGATCCAAATAATCGGGGTTTAAGGCCGGGCCCAAATACCATTAATGTTATAGTATTTGGGCCCAAAAACCTTATCATTTGGGTCCTTGAACCCTTAGGGTATTTCATGGTTATGTATACTCCCAAACGCTCAAGCTTACCAACTCAGCTACTGAGGCCTCAGCCGCCAAAAGCCACGCTTGCAAACTTCCAGTGATGCTGGGCCTGTTCCGCCAGCCACGTCGATGACCCCCGTTCCTGTTTGAAGGGAGCTGAGATAGATCGATTGTAGAAAAAGGTTGGAGGTACATGTCAGGCATCTAGGCTTAGGGCTTCGGGGTTTGGGGTTCAGGGGTTGAGGGCTCAGGGTAAGGCTTTCTTAGGGGATAGCGCACAGTTGTGCTTTCAACGCTATGATGGGTCACAGTTTACCTCCTCACCCTAAACCCTAGAAACCACATTTGGTACATCATCATGTCTATGTGAGATCCCTACGATACTCCCCTATATAGTCTCCGATATAAGCCCCTTTCAGGAGCTTGGACTACAACCCTAAACCCTAAACCGCAACATAAACCCTAGACTATACCCTAAGGGTCCAAGGACAAAAAAAAATGTGCTTTAGTGCCCAAATACCATTAATATTATAGTAAAACCCCATTATTTGGGTCCTTGGACCCTTATAATAATCCCCATATCTCCCTATATCTCCCCCTAGAACCCCTTTAAAGGGACCCTCTTATTTGGGTCCTTGGACCCTTAGGGATACATAGCTCATATGAAGACACGGGATGGTCCTTGGTTCAGGATCCCGTTTCCTCCGGCCACTCGAAGAAGCAGCTCGGCAACGGCCTTCAGCTTTTAGGGTTTAGGGTTTAGGGATTTAGGGTTTAGGGTTAGGCAGTTGTCCATATGGCGTTTCCCAAAACTAGGGGTACCCTTTTGGGAGTCCCCATAATAAGGATTACAATATCTTAGGGTCTATATTGGGGTTCCCCTATGTTGGGAAACTATCATATCAGGCTCCTATACTAACCGCCTTCAGATCTAGGGTTACGGGGGGATTGCTTGCACGCTGGATGTCCTACCTTTTTGGAGATATGCCCTACACAACACCTAGAAAATCCCCTAAACCTTGGACCCTGAACCCTAACCTCGAGGAAAAAGGACATACAGGGTCCGCCGGTTCAGAATGTGCATTTTTCGAAAGAAAAAAGAAAGAATGGTCTCTTTGTACAGCTATACGGTTTGAGGTTTAGGGTTTAGGGGCAGCATCTTGGGATCCGCATTGTCGGCACAGCCCCTAAAAAGAGCTGTGGGCGACATCGCGCTGTGTTGCTGGCGATTTTAATGCATCTATATGGGTGGTTGTCAAAATAATGGTCCCTTCTGGGTAATCTAAATATTAGGTGCCGTATTATGATAGGGATCCCAAAAGTGACCATAATTTTGATAACCACCCATATCTAGAAAACATTCCAGCTGCTAAAACCAGGAGCACACCTAGTATATAACTAGGGCCCAAAACAACTCCAATCGAGCTACTTTGGAGCGCGTATTACTATACATGCCTACATGGACTCCCCCTTTTGGGGAAACCTGAAACGATTCCCTGACCTTTTACGCCTGCCTATGATCCTCATGAAATTGCCTTACCATTTGTACCCCAGTCATAATTAGGGATGTAACCCCACATAGAAGTAGTTGCTACGTCCCATGAACCTTAAACCCTAAACCCTTAGCCCGGCACTTGAGACCCTAAAGCTGAACACTAAACCCCAAACCCCAAACCCTCAATCCTAAACCCTAAACCCCTAAAGCCTAAACCCACAATCCTAAACTCTAAACCCTTAACCCTTCAGCTGATCTCGGACCCTCCTGAGCGCGCTCCAAAGTGTTTGGGCCGCCATGCACGTCCTGTTCAGGTGAAGGGTGTTTTCTTTGGTGGTTGAACCCAGTAAGATTATACAGGGTTTAGGGTTTGGATTATATTTAAAATACTATACCCCAAAAAGAGGATCTAATCTTACTCTATAATGGGTACCATAGTATGCCCCAAATTAAATACTGTTCAGGTGAAGGGCTTGAGGAGGCCCAAGCAATGGAGCGGCTCTTAGAGTCAGAAAGGGTGAAGGGGTAAGGGTTTAGGGGTTTAGGGTTTAGGGTTCATGGGTACACTGTACTAAGATTTGATTTAACGGTTGCGAGGAGATAGGAATATGAGTAATTATTGAGACTTTAAAATCTATGCCATTAGCTAAGCACTACGTTTGATGGTAAACATCTTGCACTAGGATTCCTCAAATATAAAAAAGCACAGGGACTGGGCCGGCAATAGGGAGATTGCGCTCCCTGACGTCAAGTCGTAGGCTAGATCCTAAGCCGTGATGCTTACCTAGAGCGGGAGTAACACATAACTTTCCGCTGATTTCCTACTGCTTTGGATTAACGTAGCCAGCTTTTTTGGGGGGGGCAACTACGCTTTGCAGGTACGTAGACCCTTTCAAGGCAGCAGGGAGATGTAAGGTTGATGGACGAGATAAGCCGTCGGCGTGAGAGAAGCCACTTGCAGGTTCATTGGACGTAGTAAACCATCCTTTTTTTTTTAGAGTCTGCCTTAAGTAGATAGAATATGGGGTATATGAGGATCTTATCATGATATACCCAAGCCGTATTCTATCTACTTAAGGGGGACTATAAATGGCTCCAAAGTTCTTGCCCTAGCGAAAGATAAACCGCGCCTCAGCTACTTGTTCAGAGGTCTTTTGGGAAGGAGCTACGGGAAACGCCGCTGCGATGTACCCACCAATGTCAGGACTCACGCATCCAAGTGGTGCACAGCTCAATGGGCTATCATTGCACCTATGTCTGCCATCATCATCTTCTTCAGCTGAGTTCATCACATCTGTGAACCCCAAAACCGAAGCCCTAACTAAATCTAAAACCCTAAACTGGGCTGGCCCCTAAAACCCTTTGAAAAATGTTAGTATATAGGGTGCCTTATTAATGTCGTTAGGGAAAATAGTAAATATCCTAGGAGCCTACCCAGTAAACCCTAAATGCTAGACCCTAAGCCCCAAGTTTGCAAGTGCCAGTCCTGGGGGCAATGTGGTTTGGGCGCTACAGCAGCCGGCATAGGGCGTGGCACTCCTGCAACAAAGAAACCAGGAATAGACTGGTTGCACCCTTATCAACCAGAAACATCTACACCCTGAACCCGCAGTCGCGAAACCTTTAAACCCTAATCCTGAAACCTCTAGCTATGAAACCTGAACTGGCTGACATGAAACATCTAGATCCTGGGCTATCACCCCTTAGCGTCTAAACTCTGAACACGTATCCAGCAACCTATTAACTATAGGGGCCAATAAACGACACACGCGAACAATGAAGGTGGATAGGGATATCCGATTTCAGGTCCCGCAGAGGGTAGGGATATCCCCCCAAAACAAATTATGGTTATGTCTTTTTTTGTTCCTAGTAGAAGACTTCCGTGGCCTTGGAATGCTTTATAGTACCTTGAAAGCCCCGTTAGTTGAATGGTGTAGGGCTTAGGTTGTTTGGGGGGTTCCATGGCGGCAGCGCGTCCCTGCGTCAAACTTACATGCAACCCCATACTTGGCGCTAATGTCCTGTCTAAGGGTACGACAAGGAGTTGCATGTTAGTTTTGTAGAGGATAGCCCGAGAGAAAAACTGTAAAGCAAATGGAGGCTGCAAAGGCACACGCCTGCTGCTTTTCCGGGTCGATGCAAAACCTGAAACTCCTTTCCAAAAAGACTGGGGCTTGCATACTTACAAGTACCGTTTGCATCTGCTTGAGGTGCCAGAACCGCGAGACCTTCTAACCCTGTCTCTCAGTTGCCCCAAGATCGGCTTGGACGCTCACCCTGAAACCCTAAAACCCTGATACGGACAGAATGAAACGAGGGTTTGAGGCTCGAGCTTTGTCAAACTTAGTTTGTCACAGGGGCCATGGTATAGCCGTAATTAGAACTGGGCGAGCCCCTATGAAGTCAGTTATGGGGGTTACATGTAAGGTGATGCACTCACTCATAAACATACCCTAAGCCCTAAGCCGTATAGCTACTAAGTCCACTGAACCTCGAAGTGCACTCCAAAGCCAGACGAATAAGGTTTGGTACTCAATGCCTTTGGGGTTCAACGGTTTAGGTTGTTCAAGGGCTTAAGGTGTTCAGGACTTCAGGATTGCGAGAACACTGCATAAAGACTAACCCTCAACACTAAGTCCACAACCCTGAAACCTCAACCCTGAACCCTACAACCCAAACTGTGAACCCTAAACCGCATGCTAGCCTTCCGGCCGTGGTCTTTGCGGCCGAAACAGCCCTGATCCTTGGTGGAGCCAGATTTCGGATTCTATACCATAAGGTCTCGGGTCTAGGGGGGTTTAGAGCTGAGGGTTTAGGGGAATGAGAGCGTAGGGTTCAGGGTTTGGAGTCAGGGTGAGGGTTAGAGTTTAGGGTTTAGGGGCTAGGCTTCGTTTTTCGGGTTTCTGCTGTCGTACACCTATGGGGCCTCAATAGTGAAAACTACTAGTATCCCCCTAATTAACTAATAACCCCTACAATACTCCGCTATGTAATCCTCTCTATAACCCCCTTGCCGGAGGAGTTGGGACTAAAGCTCACATAGTACGCCTGTATCCCCTGTGCGCCTCAAAGTCTTGACATGGCAGCTACCCACTTCCGGCCACAAAATTGCTAGGGTTTAGGGCTAGGGGGTTTAGGGGTTTAGGGCTTGTGGAGCCCTTGCGTAGGATTTCAGAAGCCACAGTCCTCCAGGGGTCCAGGCACAAAAACACATGCACTAGCCCAAATTTAACCTGTACTACATTCACATACTGGTGTCAAAGCCCGACATACACCCTAAACCCTAAACCCCTGAATCCCTAAACCCTAAACCCCTAAACCCTAAACCCCTAAACCCTAAACCCCTAAACTCCTAACCCCTGACCCCTAAACCCTAAACCCTTCTCCAGAAAACCCTTGGCATCCCGACTGGCCAGACCTCTGCAAGTGCCATTACTGCTACTTCTGGCTCTGGGCCCTAATGGTCCAAGTACCTAAATTGCATGTAGTCCATGTAATCAGAGCCTAGATTACCTACATAGGAACCCATTTGGGCTCAATTTTTTCTACTAGTTGAATACTTGGACCCTTAGGGTTGGAGTTCAGGGTTTAGGGAGTTTAGGGTGGGTAGCAGTACCAGCAGCACCACCGGCACCGCCACCAGCACCCCAACCCCGGGCACCGCCATTGCCAGCAACATCACCCCCAACATCGTCACCACCCAACTGGCTAGAAGTACTTGGAGGGCACTTCCTGCCATGCTTCGTGGTGACATATGAGCTATACTCTAAACTCCTAGTATCCCCCTTAATAAGCCCTATGACACTCCCCTGTATAATCTCCTATACAACCCCCTTTTAAGAAGTTTCAAATATGCTACATATGGCTCCAGGCTCGAACCCCAAAGGAGCCCCTCCGGTTTATGGCTTAGGGTTTAGGGTTTAGGGTTTAAGGTTCAGGGTTTAGGGTTTGAACATGGAACTGATGAGCGAAGCTTCGCATGGTCAGGCAGCGCTGAATGCTCCACTTTCTCATCCTTAGTCGAACCACCCAGCAAGGGGCTTAGAGCTTGAGGGTTTAGGGCTTTAGGGCTTCAGGGTCTAGGGCTTCAGGGTTTAGGGTTTAGGATTTAGAGTTTCAAAGTTTCTGAATTTACGATCGGCTTGTGCGCTTGTTGACAGGGGTTGCGTTGGTCTTTCTGAGTAGACAGCTCAGTCCGCACTGCACAGCAAGAAGACCAAGAAAATGTGGAATACATATTGAAAGAGTGCAACAAGATTTGCTCCTAGGTACTCTGAGACATGGGTATATGCCATACTCGCAGAGCCCTGTTTCACGCCTTCCTTGGGGTTTAGGGCTGAGGGTTTAGGGTTCATAGGTAATGTTGATCTGCTCTACCGGGACACAACAAAAAATGCACCCTTTTCCTAGATGCTCCAATTACAAGGTACGGCTTCGCTTGAATGACAGCCCACTAGGCTGGGGTTTAGGGTTTAGGGTTTGAGGTTTAAGGTTTAGTGCTTGGTGTTTAGGGTTTGGGGTGTAGGGTCTTGGGTTTTGGGGTTTAGAAGGCTTAGGGTTCAGGGCTACAACTTCAGCTACCCGGACTTCTGGGAGCTGGGGTTGTTGGGGGAGATCCCGCAGCAACAACACGGTAAAACCCTTATAAACCTTATTAAGGCCCCAAAACCCTATTATTAGGGTCCTTGGACCCCCTAAACCCTAAACCCCAAAAACCCCCCTTACAGATTGCAGGCAGGCGTCGAAACTACAATTACCGAAGTTGCCTCGAGGCATTGACCGCAGAAGCCTTTCCTGTAGGGTTTGGGGGTTCAGGGATTTAGGGTCTGGGGTTTGGGGTGTAGGGTTTAAGGATTTAGGGTTTAGGGTTTGGGGTTTAGGGTTTAGGGTTTATAGGGCATGGGGTTTAGAGTTTAGGGTTTCGGGTTTGGGGTTTGGGGTGTGTCTGAAGTATTTAAACACACACTTCCGCACGGCTTAGGCTATAGGGTTATATGAAGGGGTTAACGCTTTGGGCTTATACCTTCTAATAGGGATTCATACCTAACATTTACGTATCCTTGCTCGTCTAGGGGCAATGACGTTGGCCCAGTACATATGGCGGCCTGCTGTGATATACCTTTGTCGCAAAAGTTTTGTACATATACACTGCACAAAAAACTTCGTCACAAAGGGGTTTGTTGCAAGCCGGGCAATTTGTTACAAGCCTACGTCGCGGAATGGCCGCTCAAGCCTGTTACAAGGCCGCTGCTTTTGACCCGCAGCCTTGGAATTACAGGTAAAGCCCAGCCATAAGTAGCTAGCACAAATCCCAAGAACCTCCACGTACGACTCTGTGCCATTGCTGTATCCCTACACCCCCTTAACCCTAGACCCTAAACCCCTAAGGTGTATTAAATAAAGGAAGGCATCCCTTCCACAGTGCCTGCAAACTCCCCTATAGCACAGGAATCCCTGGAGTACTGCCTGACACATGCACCCCAATTTCCAGTAAGAATTGGGTTTAGGGTTTAGTGTTGAGGGGTTTAGTGTTTAGGGTTCAGGGAATGCATTATGGTCTTATGACAGTTGCGGGTGCCCCCTTAACTCCGGAGCATAAGCTTGAAAAAAGAGCGCCTGTAAGTCGCGAGCTTCGCGTGGTCGAGCAGCGTAACAGTATACTCAAACCCCAAGGGTCCACAGACTTAAATAATGAGGGGTTTAGGGCCCGAATACTATCATTTGGGTCCTTGGACCCTTACGGAAACCCCATACCCTCAACTTAAATGAAGGATACAGTCTTACTCTGTATAAGACCATATCTAAAATCTCCAACCTCGAAACTAACCTTGCATTTAAGATCTATGCAAAGCCGTAAGCCTCAAAGCTTATGATCCTAAATCCTAAACCCGAAATCCTGAGAAGGACATCTTAGACCCTAAGTCCTTAGATTCTAAGCCCTATAGGCCTTGCATGAATTGTCACCCTAAACCCGAAATTCTACACCCTAAATCCTAAACCTTAAATCCTAAACCCTAAACCCTAAATCCTAAACCTTATAAATCTAAACCCTAAACCCTAAATCCTAAACCTTAAATCCTAAACTCTAAGCCCAAAACCTAAACAACCAAGGTGCTGCTTCCAACATCCTACCGCATGGACGTCATCTCCAAGCTTCACGCCACGCCAGAGGTCCTTGTGCTTTAGGTTTAGGGTTTAGGGGTTTAGGGTTTAGGGTTTATAGTCCCCCTTAAGTAGATGGAATATGGCTTTGGGTATATCAGAATAAGATCCCCATACACCCCATATTCTATCTACGTAAGGGGGACTATAGGGTTTGGGGTTTAGGGTCCAGGTTTCAGAGCCCCAAAACCCTAAACGTCCCCGAAACCCCGGACCCTAAAGCGTAAACTACGCCTCAAGCCCAAACCCCAAGTGAGTGGTGTTGGTTTTGGTTGTTTGACCTCGTAAGATCATATCCATGGAATAGACATTCTCCTATCGGGTGAGTATGTGACCATGCTACTCCAGTTGGTGCTAAGAATCCTGCATTACCCTGGGTGCCGTGTACCTTGGACATAGCGGTATTCTAACATAATTACTAGGAACACGGAGGATGTTGAGCCTAACCCTAAGCCCTAAACCCGACACCCGCAACTAAACCTTCATCGAAGCGTCTCTGGCAGGCAGAGATTGACATTCCGGGTAGCCTCGGGTTTCGTGCGTGAATGGGGGAAAGTAGCACAAAAGCCTAGTATAGTATGGTCTTTGGGCCCAAAAGCCTTCTTTTGTGAGTCCTTAGAGCCTTAGAAATAGGGTTTAAGGCTCCAGGGTTTAGGGTCTCGCGCTTAAGGTTTGGGATCTAGGTTTTAGGCCGCAAGAATGATTATAAAAACGACCATCGTGGAAAGGGAAACCACAAAAAAGCTGCACTTATCCCTAGGAGTCCAAAGACCCAAATATTAGGGCTTCAGGGCGCAAATGCCATTTTTATTGTAGTATTTAGGCCCTAAAACCCTATTATGTGGGTCCTTGGACCCTTAGAATATGTTAGAAACATGAACCCCAAAAACACTAAGACTGCTCAGGCTCAAGTCAGCCTGGCTCAAGCCATCAATCAAAGAATGAGCCCCCCCCCCCTTACACTCCCGGAAACTTACATGGAAACCCAAAAAGGGCCCAATAAAGACTACAGTCCTTCTGGTACTATATGGGTTTCCATGTTAGTTTGGGGGAGTGTATCACCCCTAATAATGCAATCTTTCTCCCTTTTATATAATGGTACTCTATAATATGTATATATTGCGGGGGTTAATAATGCCATCTTTCTCCCTAGTATATAATGGTACTCTATATGTATATTTTGCAGGGGTTTATTGGGTTGAGGGGACTACCAATAAGATCCCTGTAATGGTATATGAGCCGTAGTCTGAACTCCTAGTATCCCCCTTATGAAGCCCCATAATACTCCCATATATATAATCCCCTCTATATAATCCCTCTGTGAGGAGTTTAGACAGTAGCTCATATAATGGTACTATACTGCAATGTGAAATTATTTGGTTGAAGTTGGGTACTGCCCCCCCATCACTAACAGCTGGTTAAAATTTATAATAGGTGTATATATAGCCCTTAATAGGACCCCTAATATAGACTGTACTGGGAGGGGGCAGTACCCAAGGTTGAGGGGATTATACCATTCAGATCCAGGCCGGAGATCTGGTTTGGGACAGCTGGCAAGTCCGTAAGGGTCCAAGTATGTTTAAAAAAACCATACTCAACCCTCAACAGTTTAGGGTTTAGGGGTTAGGGTTTAGGGCCCTCAAGGGTTTAGGGTTTAGGGTTTCAACCCTCAACCCTTGACCTGTACAATAGCTACCCCCAAGGGTCCGAGGACTTAAATCACTTGGATTTAGGGCCCAAGTACTATCGCAATCTGAATGGCATTTGGAACCTGAAGCCCTAACATTTGGGTCCTTGCACCCTTGGGGCACTCTAAACCCTAAACCCTAAACCCACTGTACCCAAACCAAACATACCGAATAATTTGCTACTTCAGAGCCCCCTGGGTTGACACCTCATGGCTTGGGGCTAAGTGATGTAGAGTTTAAGGTTTAGGGGTTTAGGGTACCCTAAGGGTCCAAGGACCCAAATAATAGGGTTTTAGGGCCCAAATACATTTAATATTATAGTATTTGGGCCCTAAAGACCCTATTATTTGAGTCCTTGGACCCTTAGGGGTAGTTTAGGGTTTAGGGT